AGGCTTTTGGTCTAATCAAGGACACCAACCACTGACTATTAGTTTAGGTTTGGTTTTTAGGTTGAAATTATTTTACGTAGAAAAATCTATACATTGCATGATAACCCCACAACCCAGTTAATCAAAACTCTTCTAATAGCCAAGGGGTGGTCCAGAAAGTCTCAAATAGGCACACAAATGATTTGTAAAGATATCTCTATCATCTTCTTCTTGATTTGTCACAACTGTGGTACTTCTTTATGCTCTGACCTTTAATAGAATAGTTTCCCTATAAGCCATTTCTTTCTAACATCAGTAAGAAACTTTCTCTTCCTTTTAAGTACAAGTTAATTACATAATCATGCACCATTCCCAGACACTGATTGGGGGTCTGTTTGGAGAAGAGAGATTATATACCTGCAATCTCGTTGCTTAGAACATCTTAAAGCAATTTTGAGTTAAAAACTAGGCATTCACTGAAACAAGAAAGAGGGATAAAGCTGTCAGTTTTCTAGCCACATGGTATATGCTGTTCTCCAGTGCTGATCTTAATAAAGAACCTGTGTTTCATAAACCATTGAAAAACTAGAATTTAACTGGCTGGCAGAAGAACCATGGCATCAATATGTCTTTAAATGGAGGTCAGGGAGAAGTTAAATTACTGACCGAATGGGTAAAAATCTTCCCCTTGACATATAGCCTAATTTTTTCAGTACATCTCCAGGCAAGATTGTGTGGCTACATCCATTTAAATCATTTTATTTCTACATTTTGCCTCATACTAAAGGGAGGATGGGTAAGAAATGGCATTGGTGCTCAGAAAGGGCAGTTATATATAGGTAAGAGCACCTTCCTTAACACCTGCTTTCAGAGAAGAAACCATCTCTCCTGCAGGACAGATAAAACCAATCATGTTGAATGTATATGTGAGCCATCTCAGGTTTTACTCATCTCTACTAGTAGGCATACATCTCAGCGTCTGCAACTGCACTGGCTTCTGTCCAAATGGGCTCTCACTATATGAGGCTTTCTTGCCTTTCTCTTTTTCATTACCAATGGGTTGTGGGTCATGAAATCTAAAGCCTTTGGCAGGAGGGACCTGAGTGGTAGGCTGATGGATTTGGCAGGAAGCCTAGGTTTGGGCAGTGCCCAAAAGAAGGAAGGCTCGAAGGGCTACGGAAGTTTATAGTGCATGGAACATGGTAGGCACATATTGACACAGTAAGTGCTTATTGACCGCCAACTGACTGTGTATAGTAACTATAATCTCACCTTCTAATGATAAGGCAGAGGCTGTATTTTTAAAAGGCAAAAAGAAACTGGATACCTAAAGAGTAGCAGATTACAAAATTTTAGTAAGCCCAGGGGTGGCACAAAAATGTGATATCAGTACTCCCACTAGGTTACTAGGAAGCAAGGTATTGCGAGAAAAAAATTAGAACTGGAGAGGGCCAAATGGAAAAACTCTCACAGACAAAAGGGCTGCCCCCCGGGCTCCGTTTCAGCCTGTGGTTGGAGTTGTATACAGAGACAGGAAAATTGTGTCTTCGAGAACTAAGGAGATGAGACAACAAAAACAAGTTTCTATTAATAAATGAGCAATTTCGCAGGTAGATTACCTTTTCTTCTGTGACATCCTCATTCAATTTTCTGAAATTTAATATCGACTTGAATGCTCTATTCTTGGAGTACCACAAAGAAGCACAAAGAAAGCATCTGGTCTTTCTAAGGTGGAGACGGAGTCAAAACAATCAAAGCATGTCACCTCTTTTTGATATGCAACGGCAGACACTTCTTAGTGGCCTGCTTATATGTGCTCAGCCCTTTTTTCTCTTGAGAGAGCCCTGGTTTATTGCTGTTGTTCTCTGGCTTGCAATGTGCATAATGAAAAAACTATTTTCCCCAGCCATAGTAGCACCAGGGGACAATGTGATGAAGCAACAGCCCATTGGATAGAGCTTTGGGGAGAACACTCAACGGGACACAATCAGACAGTGCACACCCTTTGGTCCTTCCCTTTGTCCTTCATGGAATATGTGCCCAACACTTGCTGTTGGCTGTGAGGTGGAAGCCAAACTGTCTTGGTCCTTTCGGGCTGCTGTAACAAAATGCCATAGATGGGGTGGCACGTGAATAGCAGAAATTTATCGCTCACAGTTCTGAGGTCTACAAGTCCAAGATCAGAGCGCCAACATGATCAGATTCTCCTGAGAGCCCTCTTCCAGGTTGCAGCCTGCGAACTTGCTGTATCCTCACATGTTAGAAGTGGCGAGGGAGCTCTCTGTAGCACTAATGCCATCCATGAGTGCCTGTGCTTGTGACTTAATCGCTTCCCAAAGGCCCCACCTCCTACACTATTACATTGGGCATTAGGATTCAACCTATGAATTTAGGAGACACTGACATTCAGCCTACAGCACATACATTAAGAAAAATGGCAGAGCAAAAGCTGGAGGGAGCTAGAACTGTGGTAGCATTGTAGATTCCCATACCAGTCCTCGACCACCTGACTCTAAATTTTTTATGCTAAAAATAAAAGCCTTAATGTATTTAAATCTAAGTTTTAGAAGTTTCTGTCACTTGAAGTCAAACATAACCCTCAAGTGTATTTCATTCATTCATATAATGTATTGCATACATTAGCTCATTAACATTTGATAATAGAAAATTCTCTGGGGTAGGAATTATTATTACAAAACCAAAGTGAATTACCTGTCATCAAATCTTTCTATGTCTTGAATTTTCCTCCCCCTTTTAAATAGCAAATTCCATTTTCCCCAAGTCTTTCTAGCCTCTCTTTTTTTCTTAACCTGCACCTCCGAGGTCCTTAGATCAGACTTTCCTCACCTGAAGTATTTGCAAAAGCCTCCTCATTACTCGCTCTACTCCCACTCTCATTCATTTATGCATGCATGCAGCAACTCTCTCCAATGTCAAGTACAACAATGGATGCTGGAGAAAGAGTAATGTCAATAGATGTGGTTCATGTCACTAAACACATTGGATTATTTCTTCTTACTGTCCTCAGTGATCCTCCAAAAGTGCACATATGGGCACACGGTTTCCTATGTCAGATCCTAAGATAACTTTCCATTACCTATAGATAAAACTAAAAACTTTTTATTTCATGTAAGGTCTTCCAGAACCCTGCAATATGCTAACTTTCCACCCTCATCTTACCAGCTTCCATCACCTTTTTCCTCCCAGGTTCCCTATTTTCAAGTTCACTGAATTGCTTGGTAGGTAATGTATTTAAAGTGCGTTATGCAAGACTGGCAAAAATAGGCACTTAGAAAATGTGGTGTGCTTTCCTCAGCCCTTCCTCAAACACACCATACACTTCTACACCTTCTGAGTTTGCATATAATTTTGCCTGAAATTCCCTGTGTACTTCACCTACCAGATCTATTCAAAGTTCAAGATTCAGCTTCAATTCTATGAGCTCTTTCAGTACCCCTGATCCTGTGGAGAGTTGATTATTATGCTTTGTACATTCTTTCCACTTCCTAGAACAGAAAAGTTTCTAAAAATGTTGAATTACTTATAAGTGCACTTAATTCACCTCAAATAAATTAAGTTTCTGGTCGCTGAACATCGGTATTAATGTACTGTTAGAGAGAGATCAAGGAAGATTCTTTAGAAGTGGCTATATGGGAGCTTGATTGTAACAGAGTCAGCTCTGCAGTCGTCTGAGGCAAAAATAACATCTAATGCAGCAAGTGCAACTTTGCAACACATCGATTAAATTCAATTAATTCATATTTATTAAGCACCTAATGCTAGACATAGGTGGAATTACTCACAAAATAGATTGATACAAAACATGGGTTTTCCTCGGGAGCTGAGAGGGAGGAGAAAGTGTAAATGAAGTGAGGCAAGAGAATGGAGAGTATAGATAAGAAAATAAGTTATCAGAGTCCTGAGTTTAGATTAGATATGGAAAAGATGAAAACCCGAGGAGACCGACAAAGCTGGAAGAAAAATCAAGAGATTAAGCATCCGAATATCTCAGTGCAGTCAAGAGCCAGTGTGGCAGATGTAACAGGCAAACATCTAGGAGACTGATGAGGAAACAGGAAATCTCAGTCGAAAGTTTCAGTGGCAGAGCAATCCCCTGGGAATGAGAACATCTTCTGAGCCATCAGGGGTATGGAGGGGAATGAAATTGCCAGTTACTGAGGGGAGGAGGACAAAACACCATGAAGCTAGAAGGTTGAGCTCTAGGGGTAAAGATGAAGAACGTAAGCCAAATGGTGGATTCTCTGTATTTGTAGAAGATCATCTATGGGGAGGCATAGAGGGGAGTCAAGCTGAATAGTTTAACTCTCATAAGACAAGCGGTATTTACACAATGTTGGGAGAACAGTGCTTTGGAGCATCACTGAGGATTCCCTCCCCCTCAATATCACTCACACATAGGTACCAAAGCCTAATACTGAACAGAGGAATGATTAGTGTTCACCAAAAGGGCTGAAAGAAATTGTATTCTTGGGAGAAAACCAGCTTCAAATTGAATCAAGATGCTGTAATAAGTCTTCTGTGAAGATGATTAAGATGATGAAATTTTTCTTCATTATGAAATGGGATTTCTTGAAAATGCAAAATATTGCAAGTAAGTTGAACAGTAGGCGGCTGGCAGGCTGAGAAGAAACACAGAAAGCTATCGGTATAAAATGCATGAAGAGAATAGATCGCCAGAGGTGTTCTCATTTTAGCAAGGACAATGGGTTGTGAGGTATCAAGACTTTAAGGAAATGCCGGGGACGAGTGCTTTGAGGGCTGGCCCAGACTGAGCTTCAGGTACACCCTGGGACAGGGCGTGCGAGCCTCCTGTGGCCTTCGATCTGGGCTCATAAGTGAGTATTGTTGAGAAGTTGTGTCTTTAAAGCAATTCTAACCCTGGTAGATTGGAACCAAAATTACAAAGCTTCCAGATCCTTAGCTCCTGGCAGAAACCCCCCCCAATAAGGGGGATGACTTAAGATTTTGAAGGGATATGCTAAGGCCTGGTTGAGTCTCACCTCGGTGATGCCCGTGGCAGCACAAGTCCGAGGTAGGATCCAGGAAATGGAGGCTCATTCTCCAAGCCACCAAAGATCAGAAAATTCACTAATCATTGTGTCTGAAACATGGGGAAAAAAAAGAATTAATATGAACTGTAGGTTTTAACTTTGTTAGAAGTTTTGATAGCACATTTTCAAATTGCTTAAAAGCACTACAAGGAATGATCATCTTTCTGGCTGCCCTGTGTTTGAACCACTTCTCTACCTGAGGGAGTTCCCATTTTGCGAGTTAGAGTTAGAAACTCGTGCTAGTTCCTCTTTCTTGCAGCCTCCCTTGCAGGTCAAAAGCATGCATGAGTCCTAAACTCTGCCAATGAGAACCCTCATCTCAGACTTTATGCTGGGATCTGGAGTATGGAATTGCATAAAAATAGTTCTTGGGGCGGGGCCTACAGAAGCAAGATTAATTTCTCAGAGGAGTATTAGTGGAGGTGGCAACGGCAGCACCCTGTCCTCCAGACCGGTGGCACCGGCAGTTCGAGCTGCAGAGCACTGTGCTTAGAGGCAGTGGAAGTTGTGTTCTCACCCAGCCGGTTCTGCATGTAATTTATGCCACTCTTCCTGACTGCACATCCCCTGGTCCTGGTTTTTCATCCCCACGTGAATCCCTCCCAATGTCCTTTCAGTAAATTCAATTTCTCCTTAAATCTGATAGATTTAGATTTTTATTCTAGCAAATAAAACTCCTACTGATATAGATGTTTGATGTAGAGGTGGGGTGCTGAAAGTGACAGAGCCCAAAATGAGGGGTTGGGCAATGGAGGAGGTGCTGTACATGGCAGTAAGGAACCTGACTAGGGAGTCAGTGACTCTTTTTATGAGGTTGTAAAGCCATAGTTTGCACTATCTTTTGCTCTTAAACACAGGTCATGGGCTTAGGGAGGCTTTGGTATGGCAGGAAATGGTAATAACATCAATGGATGGCTTTTAGTGAGGGTCCATGGGAAAGAAACCAGTTGAGACTAAGGATGGACCATCTTAAAGAGGGAGAGAGGAGATTCAGCAGCAGGAGATAAATTTGAGCCAAAAGACAAGCTTAATCTTCCAGTCCCCTCTTAAACATTTTTTATAAAGTTGTTTCTGCCTGACAAATTGAAAAACCCAGATGGCCAAGATTGGATTACGGGTATTGCCTTCCCACCCAAGGTTATTGTTTTAAATTGCCTCAGGGCAGAGGTCATTAATCTGAGGTCTAGGAGGACTGGCATCGTGTAGAAGTCCCTGGCATGGAGTCAGGAATTCTCAGGCTCACAGTCTATTTCTAGAAAAGATCATTGGCCGTGTTATTAGCCCACGGAGTTGACTGGAGGCCCCTGAAGCCTACTGAGTTCTTACAGGAATTATATTACCAAAGAAAGCCCAAGGTTAATAAACAATGGCCTGCGGCTACTCGGTCACTAAGGCAATTCCCTGAGCTCCTAACCTCCCACCAACAGGATATAGAATAGGAAAGCTGTCCAGCTCTCAGAAAGAGCATTTTCCCCAATGTTTATCTCCAGTGTTGCCGTAAAGGAGAATTATGTTCGTCTGGATAGGGTGACTGCCATAACAAATAGACCCAATATTTAAATGTCTTGAACAAAATGGAACTGTTAGTCTTATTTACAAAACAGGACTGAGCAAGTAAAGAAGTAGATGGCACAGCCTTTATCTGTGCGATAATGCAAGGATCCAGGCTGAAAGAGGTTTGGCCATATTCAACACAATCTTTTAAGCCTTATCTCATCAGGTATGTCCACTTCAGTGAGCCGGAAGAAGGACAAAAGACCTATAAACACACATGCTGGTTGTTTCATCAGCCTGAGGGCTGCGTGGCACTTCCACTAATATCCTCTGGGCTGGTACTCAGTTAACATGGTTACAAAAAAGTTCGAGGAAGGCTGGGAGAAGTGGCCCTGCAGTATGCCTAGGAGGAAGAAGAAACAGGTACTGGAGAGCAGCTAAGCATATCTGGCACAACAAAGAAAAAAATGACCATTTCTGAGAGCAAAACTAGGACTGTTCAATTGGGTAACCAAGTATCTATCCCTACTGCCAATAGAGGAGTCCTTGCCACTCTCATCTAACAGAATGTAAGTGCAACGGACCAGTGACTGCTGTCAGTTGTTTATATTATTTCCCTTTCAGACTTGTAATTGATGTGGGGGGTGAGGTTGGGGGTTAAAGAGAGAATTTATTCTATTTTGTATTAGATATGCTGGTGATGAACATTTGTTTTTAGCCATATGTGCACAGACTATGATGGAAGAAGTGAAAAATAAAAGACCAGGGTTGGCCAATGTGGCTCAGTTGCTTGAGGCATCATCCAGTAACCTAAAGATTGTGGGCAGGTTCCACTCCCAGTCCTAGCATAGCTAGGTTGTGGGTTTCCCCTGGTCGGAGAGCGCACGATCCCTGGTCCCGGCACCTGCAATCCCTGGTTCGGTCGTGTACAGGAGGCGACCGATAGATACTTTTCTCTCTCATCGATATTTCTCTCTCTTCCTTCCTTTCTCTCTAAAAAAAGCAATGAAAAAAGTATCCTCAGGTCAGAATGAAAAAAAATAATAATAAGGTAAAGCCCAGAAGTTCTGGGTTTAGAATTGGGTGCATTGACTGATGAGACTTTGGGCTGTCTCCCTTTAGGGATATGGTAGGTATAGTCTATATAGATATGAACACTTTCTACCAAGTGTGAGTGGGTATATATTTAAATGTTGACTGGGCGAAGGGTGATCCTGAGGAACCATCAATTCCCCTGCGTCCTACATTTTACCAGGGCTACAATTTCGTTCAGGTAGCCATTCTTTCCTTGACTTCATGAGTCAACCACAATCATCTATTCCCTTTGCTTGTGGTACAGGAAGTGGCATGTGATGCAGTTCTGGCCAATAAAACATTAGGGGAGACCAGCTGGATAGTTTCAGAAAAAGATTTTATTACAACCAGTCAAAGATTCATAGGAAATAAAGAGTCCTTTTGTCCATTTGACTTTGTTGTGCATGTGTACAACATCTGGAACTGTGCCGACGCTCCGCGACCATGATGGGAGCGGGACTGAGGCTCAGTCAGCAGGAGCACAGCAGAGCCCAGAGACGGAAAGAACCTCAGTTACAATCACAATATCGCTCAGCCGCTAAATTAACTGGCCTTCAGGCCACCAAATAAGAGCCTCTAGACTTCTTATTATATAGCATTATATACTTTTATTAGTGTTTAAGACATGTTGAGTCAGGTTTTCTGTTACTTTTGCCTGCAAGGCTCCTAACTGATAAAGATCTTTTGTGCTATCCAGCCCAAATATCTAATATCACACGTGGGGAACCTAAGGGTTAGTTTCTTGCCATATAAAATATATACATGTGGACTTTCCTTGGTAGATGAAGACAGTAAAAGGAGCACATGTCAGTGAAGAGTGTGTGTGTGTGCACACACACGTATGTTTCATGAGGGTGATAAATGTAGCTTGATCTTCCCACATTTCTCAACAAGTTTTCTTTGTAACTGAAAACATCTACTTGAAAGCCTGTTGGCTGAGGTCAGTGGTAGAGTGTTGGTTATGAAATGGACTGAAGTTACGTCAGAGTAGAACACTTTGTCTTGGCCTCATTAGGACGGTGAGCTAAGCATCGGAAGTTATGCTCACTCTGAGAGAAAACAACTTCATTAGAAGCCCTGTTACATGGTGGGAATTGAGAACCTCCTGCAGGTTCTACTTTACACTTGCTCTATTGCTTTGGACAAATAAATAGCAGAAATAAGGCTTTGCAGATGTGGGTGGCTTACATGGTATTTTAAGATCCAGTGTTTGTTTTTTGTTTTGGGGTGGTTTTTTTTAGTAGCTGAACATTTCCTATGAATGCTTCTGAAGTTACTGCAGATGATTTTCTTCCCATTCTATTATATTGTACTCTACTTCCACCTTTCAATTATTGTGAATATATAATGATGAAAATAACTACTATAAATAATGCATTGACTTTTTGTATCTTCTTTCCAACAAAGAGAAAAATTGATGCTGAGCTGCAGGGAGAACCAGGTGGCAGCTGCTGCAATATCTCAATAGACAAAGATGTATGAACTGTTTAGAAAGGAACAGTTTTACCTCCTATTGGGATGAAATGGGAGGGAATATGTATAGTAGCCACATTGGTGTTGCACAATTCCACTGCACTCCCATTATTTTTTAACATGGGCAGTCTCCTAACTGAATGTGTGAGGCATCCAGGAATGCCAAAGAGTAGTCTTCCTTTGCTTTTTCTTCTTTTTTTTTTTTTAGAGTGCCAGGATTCTCAAGGAGATAGTGGAGGCAACAATATGGATTTGTGCAACTTTGGGTAGAAAATGTGATAGTTTTACTCCTTGAAGCAAGGCATTAATTCAGTAAAATCTTAGCTCACATTATTCTCGAGGGATGCATCATTCTGGAATCAACCTAACATTTATAATCAAGAGGCTTGGGATGAAGCCTTAGCTTGCCAATGATGAGCTTTATAACTTTGCTTAGGCAGCTTCACCTACCTCTAAAGTAAAGGTAATAATAGCCAAACCATTCATTTCATTTATTTTCTCATACCCTCTTTCAAAACATTTGAAACAGAGTAAAAAAAATATGCTATAATCACTGGAGGCTGATAAAACAGAACTTGAAAATTAGAACAAAGAAAAGAGAGAAAGCATGCTAACTATAAAGGTTGATATAATAGCCATAAATATTCATCACAGTAGAATCTCAGGTTCCTAGACGCCAGGGTATGAAGGGAGAAATGAGGTAACATATATTTGGTTTTCATTAAGGAGAGTGAATATCAGTTTCTCTGAGTATAGATAGCATTTTCCTGGCATTGCATTCTCAAAAAAAAATTTTAAAACCTTATAAGAATAATAATGTTCAGGGTTGTTAAGTGCATGAAGTATATATAAAAATCTTAACTTCAAACAATTGTTTAACACTAATTAAATATATTTCCAAAAACTGAGTTTGAAAGCAAAGTTTTAACATCTTAATTCTTTTCAGTGGAAAACATTTCTGTAATAAACTCTGTGCTTTCCTGTCATCTCAAGCAGATCACACAGGGCATAACATCACTTTCAGAAAGGCTTTGAGAGTTGATGATTACAAGTACCAGTGATTGTCATTTGCAGTATCTATAGCTGTAAATGTAGATGTGAAAAAAACATGGCAGAGGGAGATGAATGGAAAGGACTACTCCAATGGGTCTGACACTTGCTTTCTAGGAAAAAAAGTCACTGATATTTATTTGCCTTTAAATAATTTGACTTTCATAAGGGTGGAGTGAAAAATGTGAAGCTGTTGACTCCTTGGGCAGTGCAACACAGCTGCTCTTCTGCAAAACTAATTAGTGAACCTAAAGTTGAAGCAAGCCTTCTCTGAGTGATGTTTGTATCCCCCAGATAATCCTCGCAGTCCCCGTGTCTCTTCCTGCTCAATGCCATGCAAAGCATTATCTTTCTTTTCTGAGTCACAACTCAATGGTCCAGAGGCATCTTCTTGTCGGCTTCTAATACCTCTCCTACTTCATCTACCCAGTTTGAGACCGTGGTGTGTAGGACTATACCTCAGTACTTTTAAGAAATTGTCCAAAGGCAAAGGGTAGTAGCTTATTCCAAAGCCTGTCAACATTAGCAACACCTAACAGCTGCATATCAGTTTGAAAGCTCACAGAACACCTCCTTATACATAATTTTGTTTAATCTTCACAATTACTCGGTGACTTAGTTATTATTTCTTTTTGCAGATAGAGTAAGACATACCTGGATTTGAATCTAGCCTCTGTTCCTTATTAGCTGTGGGAGCTCAGGCAAACTCTTTAATATTTTCATGAATCAATGACCTCACCTATAAAAAAGGAATAAAATAACTACATTATTGGCTTGTAGTAAAGACTGAATGATATACCTGTGAAGTTCCTTTCACAGTATCAGACATAGCGTGATATCTGGCATAGAGTGATGATTACTATTATGTTACCTGAACACAACTCTTGCAGCCACAAAAAAAAAATCAATTGTAGATTAAAATGTTACAAATCATTGAAAGTCACAGTCTGTTCTATTAAAATCTTTTCTCAGAAATATCAGGTAACTCAGGTAACATGAGTTTCTCAGTAACACTTCTGTGTAATTTGAATTAGTGGATGATATTGGTTTAAAAAAAGAGTCCCCAAACACCAAGCTATTTACCCAGAATAAACAATAAAATCTAAGACTTTTTCTATGAAGCTACCAGTAAAAAGCATTTCTCTCTCCACCCACTGAGGGCTCTGTACTCACTGGGTAAGTGCAAGGCAGCTACAATACTCTAGGACTATAGATTTTAATCCCTAATATTCTCATGCTGTTGGGACTTCAACCATTAGCACACAAAACCTTTTCTTATTTGATTCAGCTCAGAGGCAAATTAGCCCGTAGGTGTCTTCCAGGTTATAATTGCCAAAATAGCCCAGCTTCTTCAGGCCGATAAATTCTTTCAAGGTGATTTATCTGAAAACAAGCCACAAACGTTTTTCAGCAGCCTCCTAATGTGCAAGTCTTTGTCATTAGCTGTTTCAATTTCTAATAGCACAGCTTATTTTTAAATAGCCAGTCGCAGCCTTGAGAAAACACATGAAATGGTTACTGTGTTTGTTGATACAGCCCAGCCTTTCCAGCCAGCGCTAGGTCTGACTTGGGGTGTGCTTTGATCTATTCACTGAGAGGCACATGGTCTCTGTGTCAAGTATCACCAGTGGCACTAGCTCACAAGTTATGGTACCCAAGTTGGCATAAGGACTGGGCAGGAGTTAAAACTTGGAGTCAGGAGTAGGCGTACACAAGTAAGCACTGACAGCCAAGTGCACCTGTGCCAGAGGGAAGTTGTAATACAGGCAGCAAGATAAGATATGAACCAGAGTCCAGACAGGGGTCGGAGGACAGGGACAGGCTGCCTAGCAGCTAAACTGCCATCCTCTTGCCGAAGCTGCTCCTACTGGACACCTGCGTGCTGTACACAGGGACATGCGGTATTTCACAGATAGCACAAAGCAGAGATGACTCAGGATGCAAAGAATTTGAACACCTATTTTAAAGCCTTTCTATGTTATCAGGTAAATACCCCTACAACTCATTGGGTTAAGGCCGGTTCATTCTGATTCTGTGTTAGCCATTCCTACCAATTTTGGAAAACTTAAGGTTTGAATAGGTTGCCATTAAAATTTCACCGGTTTTGAACCATTTAATGCTACATGGTCAACTTGTCTAAGCATTCTTTCATTTTAATTTCATATTTTTAAAATCTGCTCATGGTAACTTTATAGATAATTTGTTTAATGCATTTTTGTGTGTCTTGCTTTCTTTAATGAATAATTCTACAAACTACATAAATTGATTAAGTAAATTAACAAATACCCTCTGTTTGCTCCCTTTTAATGAGACCTTGCTATACGATGATAATAAAGAGAAGATCTATTATGATTTTATTATGTAGACGTCAGGAACAATGAAGTGCAATGGAGGATTCAATTCAATGGAGGATTAAATTAAACATGAGATTAAGTATAAAATCACAGTACCTGGCATATGTTAGCTACCTAGTTAATACTAGTTCCTTTTAGAGAAATGAGCAATTCATTTTCATCACCAAATTGACATGGTTGCTGTTTTATATACCTTGGGCTCACCAGATGTGTGCTAACTTGTCCCTTTAAGTTGAATCCTACCAGTCTTGCTTTTATGGCATGAACTGGTGGGGGAGTAGATAAAGAAATAATCTTCTTTAAAATATGTGAAGTTCTAGTTTATTTATTTATTTTATTTCCTAGACTTCAGTTAGAAATAGTAAAAGGAGCTATTTCCACTCGACCTTATACTAAGGTTCCAGTGTGCCTAATACTAAATGTCCAGCCTTCTGTCCTCTCCCTTCTGGTCTCTGCGTGCAAAGGAGGGAAGGGCACCAGATGTTCCAAGGCTTTCCTCTCCCCACAGGGTGTGCTGTGGGCAAGGGAGCCAATTGAGTCATACTCCAATGCATTCTTTGCTTGAGCACCTCTGTGTGGTAGCTAGCCGGATGAAGAGGCAAAGAATAAAGAGAAAACAATCAAGAAGGTACAGGATTAAGTGTGTGAATGTGGAAGAAGAGACTGGAATTTAATAGAACAAAAGGGTTCAAGGTGAGCAGAGAGAAGGATTGACAGATAGGTTGGATGAAAGAAAAATACATGGTTTTGTTTGCTGCACTTACTTCTAAATTAAGGTACAATATTGGCCACAAATATCTATAAAGAGAGGGAATGGAGAGCGTGGAAGTGTGTTCTGGGGGAAGCCTGGGTGATGTAAGTCAGTGAGAAAACCTGGCTGCAGCAGCAGAAGAGCCAGCTGTTGGAGCACGTATGTGAAAGAGGTTAAAGAAGATGTGGACAAATACCAATAAGCTGTTATAAGTATTAAATGTGCAGCCCTGCATATTTAATATTAAAACAAAGTAGACAGTGAGTCAGAAAATCTCAATAATGAAACAAAACTGAAAGGTAATTAGTAGACAAAGAAGGTGGGAAAAATCATTGCAGAAGTAGAATTAAAGATAAAGAAAATACTGGAAAAAATGTAGAGAGGGGGAATTAATGTAAAAAAGTGATATAAGGAGGACTTAACTACTGTTTTGTAGCAGGAGTGAATTACTTAAGTAGACTGATCACCCCACCTTCAGTTTCTCTTTGTAGCAATTACTTACTAGTTGCAATCCTATGATTTTACCCAGCCTTCCAATCTCATGATCATTCTCAGATGGCACGTTCAAACTGTGATCTACAGTGGTTTTCAGGTTTTAAAAAGAAAGTGCTTATACATTAATTCAAAATCCTATCCAAATGATACATCTTGAACTAGTCACACCAATTAAATATCTTCTCTAGATTGTGCCCATATAGGTCTCTTAGATGTCACAAATCTGTCTGCCCACCTAATGGCCATTGTTCCTTTCCTCCCTACTAAGAGAAACATGATTTTATAGTGAAAAGAGGTTTTTCTGATTTCCACCAATGAAGGATCCCGACTTAGTCACAGGGATAAGTCACGATTGGTCTGGGTCATTCCTAATGCTCTCATTCCCTCCCATTAATGGTGTGGCCCCTGGAATTTCCCTGCTAGCCATAAAAGGAACACACAGCATCTTATCCCTTCCTGCTTGTGATAGTGATGTAAAGACAGAATGCCTGGGGATGTGGCAGCTGTCTTGCAACCATTAGGCAACAAGTACAAAAGGGTGACAAAGTGGAAGGATAGAGAGAGTCAAGCTCCCGGTGATCCCATTTTTTAGCTAAGGACATTGCAACAACTGCCAACTATCAGACACGCCCCATGTGTAAGCCACTTTTTAGCTGGAGTTTCTGTTAGTTGAACCTAAAAGCTCTGAGCCTCTCAATTGTATCTGGTCCGGACAATCAACCTACAGCCTTCACCTTGTCTTTCAGGCCTTAAAAGAACACATTTGTTCAGTAGTTCAAGGAACTACTTAAATGAGCCATCTCACACTAACATTGTAAAAAATAATTTAGCACATTCTCTTGTTGTCACAGATTTAGACAGCTTAAGCATAACAAGTCTTTCTACCAATATTCTCATGTGTTATCCCATTCATCTGGGGATATAAAAATGGATATACAAGAAAATTAAAATGTGAGTAAATTGAAGTAAAAACTTAAGTGTATGAATAAATATTGGTATTTAGAATTAACATTCCCAAGTTGACTACTGGTTAATCAATTTAACTAAAATATATTTAAGAGTAAGTAAAGTCATAGCTTTTCAGAGAGCGAAAAGGCCACAAATAGGCTTTTAGCTCACCTTCGGAACAAAACAGAGAAGTAAAATGACCTATCAGTGATCACTCAACTAGACAATAAGAAGCAGGACTAGAGTATAATTTTTCTTTCAGGCCAAAGCTTTTCCACTCTATCATACTGTCTTCCAAAAGGAGGCACAAAAACACTGCTATAACTATTGAAATCTGTTCACTAGCAAGCAGTGGCCAGATGTGGCCTTTGCTGAAATGCACCTCTTTTTTTGTCTTCAATTCTTCCCTTGTTGTTTCTTGTTCTTTTCCCTATGCATTATACTAATGTTTTCTTTTTTCATTTTTTATTTTCTCAGCATTTCATTTGCTTCCTCTATTCCAATTACCTAAACTTCCCCTTCCTTCTTCTTCTCACTACCCATTTTTATTTTCCTTACTTCCTTTTGCTCTTATCTCATTCTCCCACCAAATCTCAGCTTCTAGTCTCCATTCCACGCACTCATTTTCTCTTCTAAATATAAACCTATAGGAGCTTAGCAACTCATTTACTTTCATTGATTGTTTTTTCATTTGATATAATCTATTTGTTTTTGCTTTGATATATTCTATTTTCATTTAACCCCTTCTCTCACACATTTTTAAAAACACACTTTATCTTTGTATTTGTTATTTTGTTCAGTATATCCTACCATTTTCCAACCTTAGTAGAGCAGTCATATTCATAATTACCTGGGCCTGATGCTCTTGCCAATTGCACTGCATTCCACAGGTGACCTGCAGACTTCTGCCAAGGCTGGAAAGTAAAGACTATGCAAATGCTCAGGGTCTAGGGGTGAAGAGTAGGGCAACCAGGCAGAATCCAGAGAAGGAAGAGAGCAATGAAGGAGAGAAATAAAAGAAAAGGGAACATAAACAGCATTATATCTACTATTTCAGAACTGTATTATTTCACACACACACAGAGACAAAAGGAAATGGGCAAGATTCCAGGTTGTTAGGATCGATTACTGAAGGAAAGCACAGGAAACCCAAAGAGGAAGGCATAGGAAACTCCAAAATTAAAAGCATCTGGCTGAGTTTAAGAACCAAACCTGAGGAGGTCAGTGCTGGGGCTGAAAGAGCCGCAGTTAAAGGTTAAAGATAAAAGAGACGTTGGTCAAGGTCTCTTCAGTGTTTGATCAACCTGTGTTGCCCAACCAGAGAAATGAGAGCGTTCTTTTGTAGTGTCACTCATCCACTCTGTCTGATAAGGGGGAGGACGTTGGACAAACAACAGTGAGAGGGAGAATATTAATTTTGTGGGATTAACAGTTGATTTGAACACATAATTTACATCCTTTATAAGAAAGGTTCAGTGTTTTTGATTGTGGTCCAATTACAGGTTTCTTCATTTTGGGATTCTCTCTTTTGGAAATGGAAGCAATGTCTTTTGCTTCCATGTTTCCAGAGTTCCATCCCACCAGGGAATTTGTATATTTTATTAAAATGAGCTTTACCTGATAGTCAAAGTAATTTTTTATAAAATAACTTACTAAAATAATAGAAACTTAAAAATATTTGTTGAAAATAGAGTAATTTAATACCCTGTCCTTTGATTAATCCGGGAATAAACATATATATTTTAAATATTTCTTATGACTCCATCTAGCCCTTGAATCTTTATCTGTGAGTACGTTTTGGCATATGGTTCACTTATGTATATGGAGTGCTTGAGGAGGGAAGAAAAGAGAAGGAATGAAAATTAATCTCTATTCAATAGCTAAATAAATATGCAGTCCATAGTTTAATGGGTCACCCTTGGCTGATCTGAAAATTAGAAATATGGCTTATATGTTAGTTTCCTAGGGATGCTGTCACAAATTGCTGTAAATGTGGTGGCTTAAAGCAATAGAAATGTATTCTCTCTCAGTCTAGAGGTCAGAAGTCTGAAGTCACAGTATTGACATGGTTCCTTCTAGAGGCTCTAAGGGACAATTAGAGCCTCCTGCTTTTGGTTGACTCTCTTCTAGTTTCAGGTAGCCCTTGGAAACCCTTGGCATTTCTTGGCTTGTAGTTGCATCACTCCAATCTCTTTCTCCATCTACACATGTCCTTCTTCCCCATGTCTCTCTGTGTGTTTAAATCGCCCTCCCCCTTCTTAGAGATCCAAGATGGTGGAGGAATAAGTGGAAGGTACACTAACCTCTTCCCAGGACCAATCTGGAATTACAACTAAATTGCAGATAAACCATCCTGAATAACTAACTGAACACTAGCTGGAGGGAAGTCTTATAACCAAGAACATACAGAAGAAACCACTTTACCACAACAAGACTGGGCAGGAGTGCAAAGGATGCACGAGAGGGCTGGCTGGGCTCCCATGGGTGGCAGGTGAGGTCCTGGAGGGATGCTTCAGCACCCGGGGATTCTCCCTGAGAAGTGTGGGGTCTAAACCCCAACCTGGGCTCCCCAGTCTACAGCACCAGAGCAAGAAAGGAACTGAAATAACATCCTGTTATGAAAAGCAGCAGAGTTTCTGTCTGGCAGGAAGAGATGGTTGTAGACACAGAGAGCTTCTTAAAGGGTCAACACACAAAATTTCATTTGCAGCCACTTATCCTGGGCTCCAGTAGAGGGAGGGCAGAGTAGGCTAGAGACACTTGAGGAGAGTCTGGGGTTAGTGGCTCTCGGGAGAGAATTGAAGGATGAGTGTTTCCCCATAGTGCAGAAACCTTCTTACTCTGGCAGAGCACTCCTCTCTGAATGGCATCACCATGAGGGGAACAGTACCCCACCCACAAAAATTACTCTGCCCCATCCTGTGGTACCTAAACCAGGCCACTGATTACAGCTTGAAGCTATACTGTTGATTAGTTTAACAACTACGGCAGATCTCTGGGAGCTTTATAAGACTTCAACTGACCCTCCCCAGGGCCTGGGGCTGATAAAAGGTGGCCTTAGTGCACAGCCTGGTTCTTTCTGCACACAAATAGGCCCAGCAGAGGGAGCCACACATTGTGGATCACTCATAGCTCCAAACAGGTTGACCATGGCCAGTCACAAACAGCATCTGACAAAGACCTGCACCAGAATCTTTGTAGATCTACCTAATACATAGAAACACATACAAAGAAGCAGCCAAAATGGGAAGACAAATAAACAGACCCCAAAAGAAAGAATAAGAGAATTCTCCAGAAGAAGAGCTAGATGAAATGAAGGCAAGCAATTTATCAATAGAGTGTAGAGTAATGATTATAAGGATGCTCAACAGCATTAAAAAAGACATAGAAACTATAAAAAAGGACCAATCAGAAATAAAGAATGCAATGTCTGAGATAAATAATTCACTGAAAGGAATAAACACTAGGTTACATGAAGCAGAGAACTGCATCAGTGATTGGATGACAAGGTAGAAAAAACATACAGGTAGAGCAGCAAAAAAGAAAGAATTTTAAAAAATGAGGAGAATTTAAGAGACATTTTGGAAAACATGAAGGATAACAACATCTGCATCATAGGAATACCAGAAGGAGAAGAGAGCAAGCAAGGGATCAAGAACCTTTCTGAAGAAATAATGACAGAAAACTTGCCAAATCTGATAAAGGAAAAAGACACACAGTCCAGGAAGCTCAGAGAATCCCAAAGATGTTGGATCCAAAGAGGCCTATGGCAAGACACATCAAAATTAAGATGACAAGACTTAAAGATGGGAAGAGAATACTAAAAGCCACAAGAGAAAAGCAAGTAGTTACCTACAAGGGAGCATCAATTAGACTGTCATCTGATTACTCAACAGAAACATTTCAGGTCAGAAGGGAGTGGTGTGAAATATTCAAGGTGATAAAAAGGGAAGACCTACAACCAAGGATACTTTACTTAGCAGGGCTATCATTTAAAAGTGAAGGAGAAAAAAAGAGCTTCCCAGATAAGAAAAATCTAAAAGAGTTTGTTAATACCAAACCAGTACAACAAATGTTAAAGGGCTTGCTTTAAGAAGAAGAAAAAGAGAAAGAAAAAAAAACAGAGGAAAATAGACAAACAATAAAATGGTACTAAATTGCTTGAAATGTAAATGGATTAAATGTCCCAACCAAATGACATAGGATAGTTGAATGGATAAAAAAAAAACAAGGCCTGTATATATGCTGTCTCCAAGAGACTCATCTCAGGTTGAAAGATACACACAGACTAAAAGTAAAGGGATGGAAAAAGATATTTCATGCAAATGGAAGGGAAAAAAAGCTGGGGTAGCAGTACTTATAACTGACAAAATAGACTTCCAAACCAAGGCAATAGTAGGAGACAAAGAAGGACACTACATAATGATAAGGAGAACAATCCATCAAGAAGATGTAACCTTAGGAATCATCAACACACCCAACATAAGAGCACCTAAGTACGTGAGGCAAATCTTGATGGACATAAAGGGAAAGACTTACACAAAAACTTTCACAGTTGGGGATTTTAGCACCTCATTGACTTCAGTGGTTAGATCTTTCAGACAGAAAATCAACAAGGACAGAGCAGCCTTAAATGGCACACCAGATCAAATGGATTTAATTGATATCTTCAAAGGATTTCATCCTAAAGCCACAGAATATATATACTTTTCAAGTACACATGGAATACTTTCTAGGATAGACCACATGTTAGGGCACAAAACAAGTCTCAATAAATTTAAGAAGATTGAAATCATATCACATATATTCTCTGACCACAGTGCTATGAAAGTAGGTGTCAATCACAAGAAGAAATCTGAAAAACACACAGACATGGAAATTAAATAACATGCTGTTATTTAAAAGACAATAAATGGGCCAACAATGAGATCAAGGAAGAAATGAAAAAATACCCTGGAACAAATGAAAATGAGGACATAACAATCCAAAATCTGTGGGACACTGAGAAAGCCACCCTAAGAGGGAAATTAATAGCATCACAGGCCTATCTAAAAAAAAGGGGAAAAAAAGCTCAGCTAAACAATCTAACTTCACACTTACAAAAACTTGAAAAAGAACAAGAAACAAAGCTCAAAGGAATTACAAGGAAGGAAATAATAAAGATATGAGCAGGGATAAACAAAATAGAGTCTAAAAAATAATAAAAAAGATCAATGAATCCAAGAGCTGATCTTTGAAAAGATAAACAAGATTGATAAACATTTAACCAGACTCATTAAGGAAAAAAGAAAGGACCCAAATATACAAAATCAGAAATGAAAGAGGAGATATAAAAACTGACACCAAAAAAATGCAAAGGATTGTAAGAAAATATTATGAACAACTACATGCCAACAAACTGGACAACCTGGATGAAATGGATAAATTCGTAGAAACATGCAATCTTCCAAAACTAAATCAGGAAGAACCAGAGAATCTGAATAGACAGATTACAACTAGTGAAATTGAAGCAGTAATAAAAAAAAAAAAAACCTCCCAACAAACAAAAGCCCTGTACCAGATGGCTTCACAGGTTAATTTTACCAACCATTCCAAGAACTAACACCTCTCCTTCTGAAACTGTTTCATAAAATTCAAGAGCATGGAAGGCTCCCAAGCTCATTTTACAAGGCCTGCATTATCTTAATTCCAAAGCCAGATGAAGACACTACAAAGAAGGAAAATTATAGGCCAATATCCCTGATAATCACACTACCTAATATCAAACTGTACTAATAAGTCCATGGTAATTGAAACAGCATGGTACTGGCTTAAAAACAGATACATAGATCAATGGAACAGAACAGAAGCCCAGAAATAAACCCACACCTTCATCGCCCATTATTATTCTATAGCAGAAGCAAGCACATACAATGGACTAAAGATAATTTATTCAATTATCTTTAATAAATGGTGTTGGGAAAATTGGACAGATATGTGTAGAAAAATGAAACTAGACCACCTTCTTATACCACATACAAGAATAAATTCAAGATGAATCAAAGACTTAAATGTTAGACCTGAAGCCATAAAAATCATAGAAGAAACATTGACAGCAAAATCTTGGACATTGCTTGTAGCAATATTTTATTGGATATATCTCCCCAAGCAAGGGAAACAAAAGAAAAAATTTAAAAATGGGACTACATCAAACTAAAA